TCTATTCTATTCTATTCTATTCTATTCTATTCTATTCTATTCTATTCTATTCTATTCTGTTCTGTTCTGTGCCATGTCGTGCCATGCCATGCCATTTCATTCCATTCCATTCCATTCTATTCTATTCTATTACCCAACGAGGTAATTTCATCAGTGTTAGAAGGAAGTGGGTTTGCTTTCTATTTACATACCAGCAGCTTGCCCTTGTAGATAAACAATGAATAAAACCCCAGTCAAAGTGTCAACTCAGTAAACTACAGCCTACTCAAGGAGTGAACAAGAACACTCCCTCCCAATTCAGGGCAAGCCAGTTGTATATAAACAGAGAGCAGACCCCATTCCCTTGCAGCACTGATGATGATACCCAGTTGAGTAATGAAACATTTGCAAGAAAATATTCATGCTCAGAGAACACCAAGGACCCCATGCTTTCATGCTGGGTACAAAATAGGAGTATTTCACTAGCAGTTTAGCCATTTTGTATAATGCGTCACTAGATTGGTGGAAAAAAAGTAATAGAATGGCAGGTAGCCTTTATACATCTTTGAGTTAAAACAGTTGTCTGCTATTGCTTGCTTCCTCCAAATATACTTTGCTTTAATTTACAAATTGTTTCCCTATTTTCTATTCATTGCTTTGGGGTGAGCAATCCTTCTTACTTCTCCATGATCTCAGATAAATAAATGGGTCACAAAAAAGCAAATTCCACAACTTCCCATTATGGCAGTTTAAAGGATCCTTTGAATGGGAAGCTGTCTATGGCTGTAGGTAACATAGGACTCATGTCAGAAGCACTGAAGTGCTTCTAGGTTGAAAGGATTAGCCGGTGACATCACCATTGCTGGAGATGGGGAAGCCCAGTTAGGACTCCCTTCATGTCCCCAGCAAGAGCTGGAGCAAAGGACGGGAGCTCAACCCTGCCATATAGCAACCATTTGGGTCTCAAATGCGGGCTTGCTAACCCAGCATCCTAATCACATGAGCCACCATGCTATGCCTGTAGATAAGGGCACACCTGTGTGATCCCAATCTATCCTGGTTAACAAATTGCAGTGCAATTTGAGATTCTTTTTTTCTTCCATTCAGTCTCATCTGATTCTTGGAGGCTATCTGGACAAGTTCCTGCAGTTTTCTTGGCAAGGTTTTTCAGAAGAGGTTTTCCATTGCCTCCTTCCTAAGGGCTAAGAAAGAGTGACTGGCTCAAAGACACCTAGCTGGCTTTGTGCTCAGAGCAGGATTAGAGCTCACAGCCTCTTAGTTTCTAGCCTAATGCCTTCACCACAACACCAAACTGGCTATCACAGTTTGTCTCACCCAACTTATATCCTGACTGGCTCCAAAGGTATTGTGGAAGACAATGTAGTAAGCAAGCTTGCCTTTGTTATACAGGTAGCCCTCAACTTACAAGCATTTGTTTAGTGACCATTCGAAGTTACATCACTGAAAAAAGTGTCTTAGGACCATTTTTCATACTTACGACCCTTGCAGCATGGCCATGGTCAAAATTCAGATGTTTGGCAACCGACTCGTATTTATGACGATTGCAGTGTTCAGGGATCATATGATCCCCTTTTGTGATCTTCTGATATGCAAAATCAATGCGGAAGCCAGATTCTTTTTACAACCGTGTTACTACCTTAACAAGTGCAGTGATTCACTTAACAACTATGGCAAGAAAGGTCATAAAATAGGGCAAAAGTCATTTAACAACTGTCCTACTTTTAGCGACAAAAATTTCGGGCCCAACTGGGATTGTAAGTCAAGAGCTACTTGAATCGAATAATTTATTTCCGTTGAAAAATTGAGAATTTAGGGCTGGTCCTTCTCAGACTGTTGCTTTACTTTCAGTTTGAGATAGAATATATATCAAGAGCCTTATCTTAAACAAGGAGTACCTTTGCATATGATTCCACTTGAAGGTTTTGTTGCGCATCACCACGGGGGGCTCTTGAGTCCTTACTTCGTGGGTAGCAGTGTGTTGAGTGAGGCAAGGAGTTGTGAGGACACAGCACAGGCCATCAGACACCTCTGCAGATTAAAACAAAGGCAAAAATGCATGCAATCGACCTCATTTTAGGGTATTCATTGATACATTGATGTTCCAAATGACTGCACAATCAATATGTATGTATGCATGTATGCATGCATGTATGTATATATGTATACTTAAGAAAACAAATATGTATATATGTATACACACACACACACATAACACACGTAAACTGTTTCAACTGCTACCCTCAAAATGACACTATAGAGCACTGCACATCAGAACAACTAGCTAAACAAATAATTCCCTCAACACTGTCTAACTATTCACAAAGTCTGCATTACTATTACTATTAATCTTCTCATTGCTCCTTATCACCCATCCCCTCCCACTTGTGACTGTAGGACTGTAACTTTGGTGCTTGTATCCTTATGATTTATATTGACTGTTTCCTGGTATGATTTGATTGCTTATTGTACCCTATGACTATTATTAAGTATTGAACCTGATGACTCTTGACGAATGTATCTTTTCTTTTATGTACACTGAGAGCATTTGCACCAAGACAAATTCCTTGGGTGTCCAATCACACTTGGCCAATAAAGAATTCTTTCTACTCTACTTTACTCTACTCTACTCTACTCTATTCCTATTCCTATTCCTATTCCTATTCCTATTCCTATTCCTATTCCTATTCCTATTCCCATCCATCTATCTATCTATCTATCTATCTATCTATCTATCTATCTATCTATCTATCTATCTATCTATCTATCTATCTATCAAGGTAAAAGTAATGGTTTCCCCGTTCAGTCATGACCAACTTGGGAATGGTGCTCATCTCTTTTTCTTAGCTAAGGAGCCAGCCTTGTCCAAAGATGCTTCCATGATTATGTGGCCAGCATGACAAGGCACCAAGGCCTATAGGACACTGTAACCTTCCCATTGAAGTGGTACCTATTGATCTACTCACAGTCACATGCTTTTGAACTGCTAGATGGGCAGGAACTGAGGCAAGTAATGGGCACTCATCCCATCACATGGTGTTTTGCTCTTGAACAAAGGCTGTCAGATTTCCTGCTGAGCCATTGGTCAGTGGTCTTGAACCACTGAGCCATTGTGGCCCCCTCCCGACATATATAACTATGTTTTAAAAATGCTGCAAAAATTTTAGCAAGTTGTTCCAGTCTTGCCTTTGCAGGATATTCTGAAAATTAAAGTCAATTCCTGTAACGGCATCAATGCATCTAGGCAATTACAGTATCTTGACAGCATTGTGGAAATTATTTCCTTCCTTCCTTCCTTCAGAGTGAGTTTTTCTTTTTAACTTCCCAATCTAGCTTGCAGCCTTGGCTTTCCCTGAATATCTCTCCACAAAGTATTATCTAGGTTCAGTCCTGCTTAGTTTCCTGCCCACTTTTTTTTAGATTAACCGAGGTCAGTTAGCAATAGCACTTAGACTTGTATGCTGTTTCGTAGTGCTTTATAAATGGTTTTTACAGAGTTAGACAGTGGCAGTATGCTAACCGAACCGGTTGTAGAAAAAGCCGATGATCAGCTGAGACAAGGAAAAAGAATCCTCTAGCAATCAGCCTGTCCCTGCTTGTCAGAAGGTCACAGAAGGGGATCAACTATCA